CAGAAAATCCTTTGTTGCAAAGGCTTGGCCGATTTCTGCTCGGGCCAGAGAGTTGGACACTGGATCGGAGGGGCCATTGCGCACCATCTATGTGTTCCCATGGAAACCCATGTATCTTAGATGTGCACGTCCCATCAAGGAGAAATCAGAGTGACTGTGTGGTATATTCGGGAACCCCGATGGACGATGTAGTCGGTGTTGTTATTGGTATGGGGATTTCAACGGACGCGATCGGCCGCTCCGTACGACGCCAACTTCTCGCTACCGAGCCGCATCAATGCCAGCCAAACCCAAATTTCACATCATGATGGAGCCAGGTAGTGACGGCGAGTATTCGGTGGTACTGACATGCCGAACCGCTAAACAAGACCCTATAGTCTTTGAGGGTGCTGAAGACATGGATTCCTTTGTATGCTGGCTGTGCAGATCGTTGCTTCGCTAGACACCAATGGACATTGCAAACAAAGAGCACAAGAGCGTTCCTTAGCTGGACATCGAATCAACGTAGAGTTGATTGTCTCTTGGCCACTCGGGTAGCCGTTGGCGTAAGTTGTGCCGGTTCAACAGTTCCACTGGATCCGTTGTGCGAGTCTTCTGTCCGTAGAAGATGAGCCGTTCGCGCACTTAGGCTAGCCGCCGTCCTATGATCCAAGCCAACTATAGTCTCGTGTTTTCTACGTTAAATGGGCTGACCAAAGGAAAAGGCACAGACAGCTTGATAAGCTCTGACGGGTCTTGAATGCGTTCGCTCGCGCGCAATGGAGGGTATTGCATTCCGGCGCAGAGGGGAGATGAGTGAGATGCGCGTGAACTGGCAGCTGAGCTGTGATGTTCATTGTCAGGCCGGATACTGGGTAAGGGCTGTTGAGATAACGCCGGCATCAACACTGCCGTCAGCCGTGGCAAGTTTTTTTCTCTTCAATGGCTGATTTGCACGAGCAGATGCGATGGCCAGAACCCTGGACTGTGATGGATAGGTCTACCAATGAGCTACCCCTATACCACTTGAATTTCCATTGGCAAGCAAACCTGACTCGATTGTTGTTTGCGGGTATTGCTTGCATGGCCCATGGCCCGTACCGCTTTGGACAGCCGTATCTCTCCGCTCGAGCAAGCGTCGAACCATGCTTGAATTCTTTGAAGGTCATTTGACCATGAGACCCGGAATAGCAGGTCTGGTGTAACGAGGCATATGCAAATTGTCAACAGACTGCTGCTGCGCCAGCGTGGCAATCATGCAGCGCCCAACCCTTTTCGAGTCGGCTGAGACAATCGAGAAGGGTCGATGATGGTTTCTGGTTTTTCCCGATGATGCATTTGAGGCGGCTGCAGGTCGCCATGAATCAATCGACCATGACCACTGCTTTGACGCCGCCCAGTGCACGTCACGGGAGGAGCGGGAGGCTGCATGTCATTGTGCCTCGACAGTAGACGCTCTGCAGGGTAGTCGAGTGCTTGGTGACCTCAAGGTGCACCGTCACGATTCTTGAAGCGGCAATCTCCTGCGCCTGCTCAGCCACCATCTCCATCTACACTGCAACGGCTGTCGTGTCAGGCTGCAGTAAGGCGCCATGGCAAGTGCCGAAGTCGCCAGAGAGTGGACACAAAGTGCGGTGAGGTGCTCGGAAAATAAGCGACAGCCCTGCTTCTGCATCTGCTCTCGGAGAGTGTGTCAGATGATGACCCGTGAATGGAAAGTGAAGATGAGCGTGCGGGTCAGGCTCATGCTGGCTGCTGCGGCGAGCCTGGCGGCCTGCGTCGCTCGCCCAAGAGGCTGATGGCGAGCTGGCGATTGGATCAGCGCCGACATAGGCTATTCACCAGGCGGCCTGGAATGCAATGCGCGAAGAAGTGGCCCTCTGACGGCGCGTCAGCCCAGTCGCTTGGTCTCTGGCCACAACGTGCGAACCACATGAAGGCGACGGGGGCATGACGAGTGACATGTCATCGCACATAGGCCAGCAAAAGACTGGGTTGGGGGGGGGGGGGGCGTTTGGGGCTCTCTCGCCATGATGGTGAGGATGGGGGAGGGTTGTGGGCGCGCGCTGGCCTGTACGACGGGAGCGGCCGCCAAGACGCACTAGTGCCCAAAGCGGCAAGAGCGGGTACGAATGGGGGGGAACAGGCGCGGGAAGGTGCACGTCACTGGGCGGTCCTTCCCACTTGCCTGCTCCGCTGCCGCCCATCCCTCCATCCACCCTGGGCCTTGAATCCTCCACTCTTCTCTCCAAAGCGCATGCCATGACCCCCGCGGAGACCGACGCCGCCCCATCGCTTCACGCCATCGGCCATCTTCGCCCCCTCCCTCCCCCCCCCTTCTGCCATCCCAGCCTCAATATGCCGTTCGCCGCGTCCATCTGGTAGCCCGACAAGCAGCCGCTGACACTATGTGACCAGCTGCATAGGCTGTGGCCGATGACTGGCTCTGCCCTCTTTCGGAACATTGCGCAGTCAACCACTCTGTCGGGTCGGCGTGTGCTTGAGGGCATGGAGGCCTGAATCATGGCGCTGTGAGTGCTCTAACCCAAACGTCCAGGTAATGCAACACCTGCGCATCTCTCGCCGGCCAGGGCGTTGCTACGTCTATGTGCATGGTCTTTTTTTCTTTTCTTTCTTTTCTTCTTTTTTTTCTCTTTTTTTTGCTTGTGGCCGCCAGTTATTTCCAATGGCCGCGGCGAGGCTAAGTAGTGTCGTTGCGCTCCCTTTCCGTGACAGGTCGACAGACGGCTCTTTTTCTCTGGTATCCTTCCTTCGCCCTCGACCCGCGGGATGAGCTGTCGTTTGCCGGCGGCTGTCGGCCCGTGGCGCTTTTAGCTACGTCTGGACTTGGACCCTCCACCATATGCCGCTGACTGGACACCGCCCGTAACGGATGATCCAATGCAGCATAGCTGTGGCAAGAGCAAACTATGGTCATCTGTCCGCTCGACGGGTTATTCTGGGCGGCTGATGGAGATGAAACATGGACAACCCAGCAGTACGGTCATTGACCTGTCGTGTCGAGTCGGGCCCCCGATCGGAGAATGCTGTCGTGGTCAATGTTCCTGCATCGCTGCACGGGATTGTGATGGCTCTGCCGGGCGGGCCAATGGATGTGCCGCGAGAGGGTGGGCCAGAGAGCAAAGCCTGTCGTCGTGTGCAAGGCCTGCTAAGCCCAGCGTGGACCAGAGACTTATTCGAGGAGTGTGCTTCTGGGCATGAGGGCAAATGGGCCCTTCCCTGACGTCGGAGAAATTGGGCCACTGCTTTGGGAAAGGCTCGTTGCTGCAGCTTGGGCATGTTACGGTGGTGCTAGAAAACGGCCATGGCCTGAGGGATGCCAATGGTTTGCTTTGGGGCTGAATCATGATGGGGCGTCGGTACCGCGCAGCATGGCTCGAGGCTATACTCACTTGGCAGGCACTGCTCCTTTGAGCCAACGAGTCCGGCTATGCGCCTAGTCTTGCCCTCTACCCCATATGGAGCTATAGCGCTGGCTGGCTGGCTGGCTGGCAGCAATACTTGTACTGCCCGCTCTCATTCGGCAGCCCTCCGTATCCTTGACAAACCCACATCGTTCAGTGCCCGTCATCAGTCAATTCCCTGGACCCACTGTTTCCAGCAATTTGCTCCATCATTATCTTGAGACCGGGAGCCGGTACGCTACCAGCCTCACAGATCACGGGCTCGCATGCCGGTGAGCTTGTGCAACCGTCTGAGAAAGAGAGGCCAAACTTGAGTAGAGAGCACGGAGCATATATGCTTCGGTCCCTTGACCGTACCAAGGCCACGCATACAGAGGCAGGCTCAGATAGGCTTTGGCTTGACCAGGCTGCTGCTCTTATTTAACCAGAGCGTGTCGACACGACACCGGTCATCGCGAATCCAAGCAAGCAAGCAGCCAGCGTCTCCGGCGAGGCATCCACGACTGAATAGCGGCCGACGCCACAGCGGTTCTTTTGCCGAACCGCAGCATCCATCGTCTCTGTAGGTGCTGGGCGGGAGGCGACACGAGCCCTGCCTTACCTCACCATTACCAGACTGACAGGTCGCAGCGTGCCTCTCACCGCCTACGTCGTGGGCAGAGGCGACAGACGTCAAACAGTGGGGCGACTGTCCGTACCTGTCTGTGCTCTGGATTCGAGATCCCAGATCTCTGGCGGGCGCGGGAACAAGCAAAGGGCGGGAACAAGCACAGCGCGCCAGCGGGCCTTTCACTCGCTGCCATTTGCATCCCAGGGTTTAAGCCGTCGCGCAGCCGCCGTGGGTGAACAGCAGCACATTACTTACACTGCTGCTGAGCGCCTTTCCCAGCACTCGACAGCACTGCCAGCCAGCCAGCCAGCCAGCCACTCACGCACTCGCTCACTCACTCACCAAGTCCGTCCGTCCTCTCCCCCGCCCCCGTGGCTGCCCGTGTAAGCGCATTAACAAAGCCCAGCATCGCAAGCGATATAGGCGCTGCACCATCGGCAAGCAGGCAGACAGGCAGGCAGACGACGCATTGCAGCCGCCGCTCCTCATTGCTACACTCTCGCCAGGCCGAGCTCCAGCATTACACGCACAGCCCAGCAAAGCGCAGCGGCAGCTAATTGAGGATCCCGCCCTTGTACCGGCTAAACCACAGACTTTGCCTGAAGCGAGCCAACAGCGGCCTCGAACGGGCTCCATCGTCTTCACCACCATCCCATTCCAGCAACCCTCTCGCAGTCGCCCCCCGGCGCGCCAAAACCCACCTTCACCACCGCCCCGTCGACGACTGACTCGTTTGGCCCCTTCGCATTGCGAGCGACTTGCGGTGCAAAGCAGTTCGCCCGCACCGGACATCTGTCAGCAGCAGTGAATCCTTTCGCCACTACCGGCGCCATTAAGCTCGACCCGGACTGTCGGGATTTGTCTGCAGAATTGCAGAGCAAAGAGGGTGGCCTTGAATTCTGTCGCTCGCAAGGGTCGTAGCCTTCCCACGGCCGCTGCATTGGACCACAGCAAAGCGGCAGTGCACCGTACTTCTTACTACAAACATGATGAATCCAGGTAAGTCGGCTCCGGATGCACCTACAAGTCATATTCTTTCTGCACATTCAATCCAAGAGCAATCACACCCCCACGTTCAGCCTATTCCCCCCCTTTGACCATTCGCTCTAAGCGCTGCACACTCCAGCCATAACCTGGCGCCCTTCTCCGCATACTTTTCAGACCCAACCTTCCCGCACCCTCTCTTATATTACACCACGACGCGACCAGTGCACCGACTCTTCTCCCCACTCCTTTGCCCACGACAGCAAACTGCAGACGTGCTCTTTTTCTCGTCCCAATAGTGCGCTTTGCACGTTTGCTCCACCACCCGATCGCAGTGCCGCGTGTGCGACCACGTCCTACACGTGCCTCCCTCTACACTCCATCGCGCACCTGTGCACGTTGTCCGTTGTTGTCACACGTCTTGTTCAACAGCACACTGTTTGGCTCCTATCGATTGGCTGACGTGCGGGATAAGCAGTGCTGCAACCACCGCTGTCCTTGACATCGGAAATCCCCTTCTCGTCGGAGCCAGAATGCATCGACCATATCGGCGCGCATGCAACTCATAGCTCCTTCGTAAGCGTACCCGATCAGCTCAGGCGCGACGGCAGCTTAGCACACTCGGGGACCGATCTTCACCAGGCCTCGATTGCAGGCCGCTACGGTACACATCGTCCCGATAGTGGGTAAGTAGATGCTCTCATTGGTCCTTTTCTTCCCGTCTGGCATGGTAGGCTCCGTGGTGCTGCCTAGCCCTGTGGCCCCCAGCCTGCGTCCCTCGACGCCTCTCTCTCTCCTGGTGCAGCCCAAGCCTAGCCTCCCCTTACGCCGAAACAAACACGTCGTCAATGCCCTTCATTATACTCGCCTGTCGCACACGTATCAGATGCATGGCGTACTCGGTCTTCCCAACAGGCTGGTCTGTCACATTGATCACACGACAAGCCTAGCGGCAATGCTGTACAGCCTCTGGCCTGGTCGACGACTTATACCGTGCCACCCTACCCTCTGGTTACACATCGTTCTCGTTGGCATCAATCTCGCCAAACAGTCTGTTTTGCGCTTTCGACTGACTTGGGCCTCTAGCTATCAGGGAAGTGCAACTCTTTCGGATTCAGGATCGGCCTCCATATCTACTTCGCCGAGCTCAAACGCCTCTTCAGCGCTTGCATTCTCGTCGTACTCGCCACTCCATACGACTGTAGGAGCGGGCTTCCCCCAGTACCAGATATCATTCAACCCTGCTTGCCCGTTTGACGGCATGGCCCCAAGTCGACGACTGTAAGTATCCCACATCGTGCACTTGTGCGTGCAGAACCCGACCGGTATGCATGACAGCTGACAGCATTATGCTAGGAATGATGCATCGTCGGCGACCATGTTACCTACTACAGCGAGATCAACAGGCCTAGGCCATTCAGTGTCACCGTCCATGGGCCCATTGCCTAGGGACAACTACACGACAGGGACATCCACCATACCGCATAGATATTCACACAACCTGTCCACTCGCCCCGATTTACCCCATTACAACTCGCACCCCGACACCCCCCGGAGCATGCTTTCGACAACTATGCCCTTAAATCATTACAGCAGCAATGGCTATCACACAGCCGCCTACGGGCCGCCTTCAGGTTCACCTGAGTCACCGCCCTTCAACGCACAACAAACATATGCCACCATTACCTGTGAAGGCTCACCAGTAGCCCCCAGTATTGACGCCAAAATCGAGAAGGGATTTTTCTACTCATCTGATAACGTCTGGACGTGCTATCGCCGCAACTACTTTTCGGTAAATGTATCATATCGCCTCTCACCTTGGAGGCCCAACTTGTGTCTTTACCTGGACCAAAACAATGGGAAACAACCTGAGAAGATACAGTCCATGGCAGTATCTCTTGCTGCTGCCGTGGACGGAGCATCTGGAAAGACAATTGAGCTGATACAACACACTCCAAAGCGTGACAAGGGCCCTCAACTGCCCATGAAAAAGGAATTGCTGGCACCAACACCACCCGGAAAGGGTCACAAGCATGGCGGATATGGGCTACACAGTTTCCCGCAGCCGTCGGCCATGGCAGGCCCTCAATTGCCGTTGCAAAACGAAAACGACTCGTCGCACCAATACTCTCCAGCGAGCCACGCCAACGGCAACTACCAGCACTCATTTGAACGCATCCAGTTCAAGTCAGCAACAGCCAACAATGGGAAACGCAGGGCACAGCAACAATATTACCATCTGATTGTCGAGCTGTAAGGAAGAAAGAAAGAAAGAAAGCGTCATGACAAGGAAAAACGAGCAGACGATACGCAGCATACCATAGACCATTGCTGCCGCGGCCATGGCGCATGACCGCTGACAGTACCACAAAGACGAGTGTGGGCCATGGCCTCTCCACCTGCAGTAATACGCTAAGCGTTTCACCGTGGCCGACCTACTGTGCATGTGCAGTACTGCCTTTGTTGTGCGCTGTGTGTAATATATCATCCCGCACTGCCCTTGCGTTGTTGGCCTGTACCGGTATGCATCATGTCGGACCGTGCGTCGTTCGCTCGACCATGTAAGTCCAGCTGCGGCCATCTCCATCGTGCCTGTGTTGGCAAGCCATCCGTCGGCATAAAGCAACAATAACAAAGCTGCCACCGAATCGAAAAAAAGTATTGCATCTCCATCATGACGACATCCAAATCATGCCAGCCTGCTGATAGCATGATTGCGACATGCGAAGACATGGTGTCCTCAGGCGCCCCTCAGTATGTGCTAGCGTGGACATCTGGGTAGAGTCCGCGGCTGCTTTCGACGCCGTGAAACCGGCCGCACACTCCACCTTGCCAGCCAGGAATGGGATACTCTTCCTTGACCCTACGATCGGGCAGTGGGAGGGCATTTTCCACCCTCGAAGGTATGCTACTCTCGTAGATGGGAGCGGGGTAATATGCATACTCCGATGAAGCGTCCATCATCTTGGATTCTTCGTCTTCGACCATGTGTTGATCACTTAGGATACCTTGGATTGGGCCTCCGCTCAGGGAGCTTGCAGAGCTGACCGAGTGGCTGCCAACCGGGCTTGGATCCAGCGAGTATGCGTTACCACGGTACATGCCCCCACCCATGACAGTCGCACTGCTGCCTGACATGCCGCTGCCGTAGCTGGAGTACGAAGCGCGGCTATTGGAACCCATCCCATGATGGCCACCACCACCTAGGCCTGCGCCAGGTGTGCCTCTTGACGTACTGGCGTTGTGGGGACCTTCATTTTGATAGTGGCTGGGCGAGCGTCCACGCACAACAACTGGGTCCGACAGACGGGCGGCGACCTTGACCCACCGAGGCCCCTCATCGGGACAGCTCTGCACATTCGCCCCCCCCCTTTCCTTCTTTCGGTACAAGTCATAATTAATCTTGCATGATGCAGCGACGTACACCGCCATGATGCGTATGGTTGGCACGAAGCGCGAAGTCAATTATCTCTCTCTTTCCTTTGTACGCAGTTCGGTTTGTGTCTGCACGTGTTTTGTTTCTCTCTATCATGGGCATCCTCAGGCATAAAGAGCTAGGCGATTGGTGTTGGGGAAATGGACAAATGGACATGGGGTTTCGCCACACGGCGCTGGATATGTGGCCGCGATATACTCAGCAGCGAGGGCAGATTATGATTGTATGAGTAACGGGCCACGGCGGATGGGCAGAAGGCGAGATTGGCGATGCACGCAAAGGGTGATGATGATGGTGGCAGTCCCTTGTCTCTTGTATGATTATCTAGTGCCCGAAAAGCTCGTGCTCAGTAGTTGTTGAATGCAGGCGGCCCCGGTTGTTTTCCACCTGGCGCACTTTTGCTGGTTTGCATGTATGCGTGTTCCGCGAGTCAGCCGGTGGTCGAGGGGCGCGGTCGACGAGTGCGAGTGAGGTTCTTGTAGGCTCGTGCGATCCGTCTCTAGCGTGGGATCTTTCCGCCTTCCCCGCGGTGCTGGCGCCGCTCAGGGATCGGCGGCGGCCAAAACCTTGACGGCAACGGCGCTGGCACTGGCACTGCCTGCCACAGTGTCACGTCATCGCTAAGAAGCGCCTAACTTTGCTCGCACTCGCGTTCCCTCGCAGCTCGCGTCCCCCCTGCACTGCGCCCATCGCCTCGCCCACCGGAGCAGCCCTCGAGCAGCCCTTGAGCAGCTCTTCGCCCGCCGACCACAATGGCTTGGTACGATCAGGACAGCTGGCTCACGGCAGCCTTCTCGCCCAACCTCACCACCATCGTCATCACCATCGTCGTCGCCCTCGCCCTGCCCATCCTGCTGCATGCCTTTCTCTACAAGAAGGCTGCCGCTGCCGCCCAGGTGCCCACCGTGTTACTGGTCGGCCCGAGCGGAAGTGGAAAGACGGCTTTTGCGACCTTGGTACAGCCGCCCCCTTGTCCCAGTCAGCGACACCATATGGCACTCGTGGCTAACAGGCACACAGGCCGAGAGGAACGCCTCTACCCAGACACACACGTCGACCACGCCTCTTACCGTCTCTGCCCTTCTGCCCAGTCCACATGTGTCCGCGTCCTCGCACTACCGCTCGCCCGGTGACCCAGCTTTCGAGCGCTCGCGTAACTTTGTCCTCCTCGACACGCCTGGCCATGGCAAGCTCCGCCACCATGCCAACGAGCAACTCGCCGACCCCAAGAACATCCGTGCCATCATCTTCCTCGTCGACGCCGCTCAGCTGGGCGACGAGGCCGGTCTGAACGAAGCAGCCGAGTACCTCCACGACGTGCTTCTTTCACTGCAAAAGCGCTACACCAAAGCAACCACGAGCAAGGGGCCCAAGGAAATCCCTGTTCTTGTGGCTGCAAACAAGATGGATCTTTTTACGGCTCTCCCTGCACACCTGGTCAAGAACTCTCTCGAGAAGACCATAACCACAATCAGGAACAACAGGGCCAGGGCACTAAGGGACGCCGGGGCTGCGCTGAGTGGAGGCGAAGACGAGGTGGACGAGGAAAAGGAATGGCTTGGAGAGGGCGGAGAGGGCGCTTTTACTTTTGAGCAAATGAGAGAAAGCGGGACTAGCATCGATGTCATTGGTGGAAATGTCATTGGTGGTAAAGAGGGTCCCGGTGTGGATAAGTGGTGGGAGTGGATCGCTGAGCAGCTTTGAGTGTGCGTGTTTGGAAAAGCATCTTCTGTCTTTTTCATGTTCGAGGCAGGTGGGTGATGCCTAAGGGGGGCGTTGCATGCATGTAATTGTACCTCTCTTGATACCCAAAATTTACAGTCATCTAAAATCTGTTATGGCGGCTGGTCTCTGCTTGCTTCCGTGTCAGTGGTATAGACTTGGCTATTATGGATAAGAATTTCCTGCGTTGAAACATAGTGAGTATTTCGAGGCCCCTTGTTTCAATGTAGAAGACTGGTATGCCGGTATTTATCAGACAGAAGAATCATAGAATCTTCTTTTTCTAGAGATGAAGTCGTGCGCTTTTGACGTGGTCTGACAGTCTTCTGTAGATCTCGATCTAGATAGCACCATGTTATATATAATTTGAACCAAATAAAATGACACATATTTTTCAGCCTTGCATGCCCTTGAAAGCCAACCCCACGCGAGCTCCTGAGGTGGCTTCCATACAGATGCACGCCCGGCCCGAAGCCATCATCCATCCTTCCGAAGCCATGCCCTCGGCCCTCCACGTCGCTTTTGAAATCGGCTGTCGACCCGGTCCCGCGGTTCATGTATAAGTCAGACCAACGTCACATACAATAGTAAGCAAGTCACATACTGCATGCCGAGCAATTGGCGGCCGCCATGCAGTTTAATGTGGGTCTGGATCAAATGGGACAAGTGTGAGTGCAAGAGCTTTGAGTACCCGAATCGAAGACCTCAGTGACATCCTAGCATATCAGCTGTCTGGACTATCGATTGCACCAATGCACTTATGTTTTGGGGTTAGTGCTATAAGGCTGAATTAGCGGTGGCTTAGCTGTGGCGGGACCAGTTAGCGGCGGGTAGAAGCGGGACAACTGGATTTGCCGTGGCGCGAATCAGTTCACAACGTACCACCGTCGCCTTCAGACCTGTGGGTACTCGTCTTTTTCACTCCACGCAAAACTTTTCTCCCTTCACAGAATATCACTCCACGCACTGAGATATAAACGCACACATCGCCTCGTGTATCTACGACAACCGCGACCATGTCTACCAAAACGCGCCCCGCCATCCCGCCAGTCGTCATGAATAGCATAACGGAGCAGATTGGCAACACACCGCTTGTCCGCTTGAACAAGATCCCACAGTCGCTCGGCATCCGTGCCACCGTTTACGCAAAGGTCGAGGCTTTTAATGCCGGTGGCAGTGTCAAGGACCGCATCGCTCTGCGCATGATTGAAGCTGCTGAAAAGTCTGGCCGCATAAAGCCCGGTGACACGCTCATTGAGCCGACATCTGGTAACACGGGTATCGGGCTTGCGCTGGTGGGCGCTGTCAAGGGATACAAGACCATCATTACACTTCCCGAGAAGATGAGCCCGGAAAAGGTGGCGGTGCTCAAGGCGCTAGGTGCAGAGATTATTCGCACACCGACAAGTGCGGCGTGGGATAGTCCCGAGAGCCACATTGGTGTTGCGCGGAGACTAGTCAAGGAAATTCCAAATGCGCATATCCTTGACCAGTACTCAAACGTCGACAATCCGCTTGCCCACGAATGCGGCACGGCTGAGGAGGTTTGGGCCCAGACCGAGGGCAAGGTTACCATGCTTGTTGCTGGTGCGGGAACAGGAGGCACAATCACTGGTCTTGCGAGGGGCTTGAGAAAACACAAGCAGGATGTCAAGATTATTGCGGCGGATCCTCATGGCAGTATCCTGGCGCTGCCTGCAAGTCTGAACGAGGAGCACGTAAATGAGGGATACAAGGTTGAGGGTATTGGCTACGACTTTATTCCCGATGTTTTGGAACAGAAGATTGTCGACAAGTGGTACAAGACTGACGACCGCTCTTCGTTCCAGTACGCGCGCAGGTTGATTGCCGAGGAGGGTATCCTTTGCGGTGGTTCTTCCGGAAGCGCCATGGCAGCTATGGTTGAGGCGGCTCGCGACATGGATTTGACCGAGGATGACGTCGTTGTTGTCATACTTCCAGACAGCATTCGCAGCTATCTCAGCAAAGTAAGTCCTTTCAAGATATGGAAGACCGTTACTAACAGGTAATAGTTTGTCGACGACGACTGGCTCGCTGCAAACGATCTGCTCCCGCCCACACCACCTGAGACACCTGACTCAAGCGGCGCACAACTTCGCCGTCTTTCGACCAGCAAGAAAACCGACCCCTTCCATGGCGCTACCATTGCTTCTCTCCGCCTCAAGCCTGTGACTACTGTCGCCGCAGACTCACCTTGCAGCGAAGCCATTGAGACTATGCGCGAAAAGGGTTTCGACCAGCTACCCGTAAGCGTATATTCGTCGTCCGGTAAGGCGCGATTGGTCGGTCTAGTAACACTCGGCAACCTGCTCTCGTACATTGCCGCTGGCCGTGCTACCCCCAAGTCGCCTGTCGAAGACGTCATGTTTGATTTCAGGAAGCTGAACGAGGTTGTCAAAGACCTCGGTCGCCTATCGCTCGACGGCGACAACGCAAAGAACACACAGAAAGGCGGCAACAAGGGCAGAAATGAGTTTGTCGAAATCACAAAGGAGACCAGCCTGTCCGACCTCAACAAGTTTTTCGAGTGGAACAGTGCGGCCGTTGTCACGGAGCACGTAGATGGCGAGCACAGGGCTGTTGCCGTAGTCACAAAGGTCGATCTGCTTACCTGGATGGTTAGGCAGGGACATACTAACGGCACCTCGAGCTAAGCATAGCCGACAGGGTACATGTGTTTATCCAAGCGATAGATGGCATTCATACAAGATAGACCCATTAGCGAACAAAAAAAGGGTGGGCGATGAGACACGGAGTATTGCATGGGACTTGAGGGCTGGAATCGAGGGAGTTTTTTGGTATGTGGGGGTTATGGCGATATGAAAGATCAATGCATTGGCTACGTTTGGTTTTTTTTGTGGACTTGTGCAATTTAGAGACATACAGAGACCTCAACGTCTATGAAAATGCATACGTTTTTTTGGTTCTGTATTCTTGATCTACATCATCTCTCAAGGAAATTCACTCCAGTTCTTGTCTATGTTCCTTCCGAATCTAACAATTTTACTTAGTTGTTTTGATAGGTGAATTTTGAACAATACCGCTTCGCTTCGCATACTCACATGATGTAAAGATATCTGTCTATCTAGCTATGTATCTGTTTTTCCCGGTTTCGAGAAAAGCTATGTACATACTTATCACAGATTCCCTTCCCTCTTCCCTCCTCCCTCTCCTATTCTTTTCTCACACTGAACCGTGATACAGATATTGCGCGAATCTAAAGCACCAGCTCACTATGTAGCACCTTTTCCTTCTTCACTGCTACTTCACCCAGCTGTATACAACTTACATACCCACGTCTCTCGACACCGACACCCACCCGCCCACTCACATCAATACACCGCACTGCACCGCACCGCCATTTTATGTACATACTTCCGCGCTTATCGCCATCGTGTGCACAAGCTACACTGCATATTTCTCACCGCGATAGGGAGGCTAATGTAGCCGAGTTACGACAGATGATGCATTGGATGTTTGGAAAGGAGATTGGGGAATTAAGAAGATATTACTGATTTTTGGAATGGGTATAACGGAACAGAAGAAGGGATCCATGGGCTTGCATGTCAAGATGGGTGTGTTGGATTAAGCGCAGGACAAGTATAGGATTGCTACAATAAAGCTGCTATGTTTTAATGTTATCGAAATTCAAGAAATATTAAGCACTGAGGTGGTGCGGGAAAGGTGGGGAAGACGGTAGGAGAGCGGGAAAGTATCTAGGCTGCTGGCGTGATGAAGCTTCGCTTGCGGCGTGGGTCGTATGGAGATTGAGGGTATGTGTGAAAGGGTTTTATCACGTGCGATGCGGCTATTTAGGGTGTGAAATAGATCAAGGTGAATAGAAATGTACGAGTATGTATTGTAGCGCTACACCTGTCTTTATTCATTTCGAAAGATTAGCTTGGTGTATTGCGAGTTCTCTGTAATCAGCTGTTTTTTTTTAATCTCTTGTTCTTCACTCGGAAAATCAAACTAAATTCTCTATTCGGGATACACTGCTTTCATATACAAGGACGCTAGCTGAGTCAAGGATGAAATTGTTTGAAGGCATGAGTGAAAGTTAAGAAAATGATACGCGACTTGACATGTCACGTGCCCTTCGATCCAAATGCTCTTACTAGGCGGAGAAATAGAACACATAATAAAAAAACACATGTACAAAAGCTCACCTACTGAAACGAATGTTGTCTTTGTAGTGAAGCAAGACAGAAAGTAAGTGGATAAAAAAAATATACTAGATACCTCCATCGAAATAGAAGTTGATGACAAGCCGCTACAAAACACACACACACACACACACACATGCACATGTGCACTGCCTCAACCCACGGGCATAATCAATCCCCCCAAGTTGACAGCATGGATGCATTCCTACGCGGCCGAACAATAAATGTAGATTTATCCGACCCTTCGCATCTGGATGGTCATGATGTAACGCGTATGCATCGCTGTGCCGCAACAGATCCGCCGGCGACTAGGTACCTACATGCCCCCCCTGGTCTGCGGGCGGCGCGCAACCGACGTGGGGAACCGAACCAGCATTCGCGGGCGGCAGGAACAACAACACCGCATACTCCGTGTCTGGGAGGGATTGGGATGGTGTGATTGCATGGTGGGGGCATGGCTGTAGCCCTGTAATGTTTTTTTCTTTTCATGGAGGGTGATAGGGTATGAGCCAGGTTTTCGGAATCGGAAGAGGGCGTGATGTGGATGTAAGACTTAATTGTTTGTTTAAGCCGTGTGTGAAACTTGAATGTCGCCGAGACTTTTTTTTTATAATTCTTTTATTTTCAGTCTTGCATCCTGCCCTTTTTTCCATTGTTTCTTGTTGATGCGACTGGTTTAGTGGAGAGGAAAAATCTAGTCACGTTGGAAAGAATTCTGACTGCTTTTGGAGTCCATTTATTAGCGGCTCGTTGGCTCCTCTTCTTCTTTTCCTCTCTTTTCGGATCAACATAGCACGACGATAACGACATTAACAAACACGACGACTTGAGAATCAAGTGGAAGAATTCAAAGCTGAAATCATGTCGGACAACACTATTGTAAAGAGCGTTGCAGGGACTTGCATCACCTTCTCCTTCATCCTCGCCGGTACATACCGCCTCACCACAGTTTTGAATGGAATTCTTACTAATGAAAAACTAGGAAATGCAATCACACAATCATACATGACGGTGCCCGCTCTCCTCGTCAATTTTCCTCCCCCGGGCTCGCCCGACCACAAAGACCGCGCGCGCCTACTTGGCCGCCAATGGCCTCTCTGCTGGACAGTTGGAAACCAGTTTTTCCGGCCCATTTCCACGCTGGGCTTCCTTGGATACGCCTATGCGGGGTACTCCGTGTACCGCGAGGGGATGCTTGCGCGTAGCGACTGGAAGCTGTTTGGTGTGGCGGCTGTCATGCATCTGACGACTATCCTGCATTCGGCGATTAACATGCAGCCGCTGAATGATAAGCTCGAGGCTCTGGCGGAAAGGAGTAGTGAGAAGGAGCTGTGTGAGGCGCAGGCGATTGCGACAAAGTGGGCGAGCTGGAATAGGCTGAGGTTGGTTACGCCGGTTGTTGCTGGGAGTTTGGCGCTGTGGAACTTGTTGTCTTTGTAGATGTATACTTTGACTTGGTCGCCTTGGTGATATGGTCAACGGAGTATGTACGGTTGTTAGCATGAAGAGAATGAAGTATTTGTTGCTATCCCAACTCCTTTTCTGACTTGGGGATATGTATCAGTAAGAAGGTTCAGGACCGCTACTTTCACAAGCAGAGCACAACTGCACATTTGGAGCAATGGAAGTAATATGCGAATATTACAAATGTAAATGTATCAGTTCACAAGACGAGCCAGGGAGAGCAAATATTCAGAGTGGCAAGACCAAGACATGTTAATTGAGGATTCATATACGCTCCAATGACGCCATACATCTAAACTCCATTGCTAACCCGTAACACACAAATACTCCTATCGCTTGATAGCCTGGTCTTTCCAGCCACTCCTCTCCGCCAACCAAGTCTCGAAATCGCACAACTTGGGCTCTTCCTTCTTCAACTTGGCAATGTCGGCGCCGTAGCCCTCGGCCGCAAACCAGCTAAGCATGACATTCACCTCGGCAACAGCCCACATGAGTGCTGACCCCAGGAACCCATATGTAGCGGGGAGCGGGGTACCAATGACACGCTCGAAGCAGCCGCTCATCTCGTCCATGGTAAGTTCGCTGCCGGCAAGGCCTTCGGCGCGCGCATTCCACTCTTCGTTATTGATGAATGCACGTGCGCCGAACAGCCCAATGTCCTCGACCGACACCCACTGGAGGGATTTTCCCTGCAGCGTATCGCGGAGAGCTGCAAGGAAAACCTTGGTTGGGAATGCAGGCGTAAGGTTGTCCATGAAGGCCACGGGGCGAAGAATCGTCCAGCCCATGTTCTCGCCATTCTTGCCCGCCTTCTCAAGCAAGTGCTGCTCAATCTCGTACTTGCTCTGGAAATGGGGAATCGGCGTCTTGTTCTCGAAGCTGCGCTCATTGCCGCCGCGGTCCACGCTCGAGTAGACAAAGTGCATGACGCCGTGTTCGATGGAGGCGTCGATGAGTGCGTTGCCTTGGATGACTTCGCTCTCGTGCGTGACATTCTTGCCCAGCGAGACTTGCACAGAGTATACGCCCCAGATCTTCTCTTCTTGCTCTGCTTCTTTCAGAGCAGCTTTTGCCGATGCGAACAGCGCTTGGGGATCGTCGAGGTTGCCTTGCACCAGCTTGACCTGGGGATGTCGCTCAACAATCTTCTTGGCTGAGCCAGAGTTCACATCTCGCGTGACTGCCAGAAGCGTAAACTGCGAATTCGAAGGATATGATGCGAGCTGGTCGAGAACGGCACCGCCTTGCTTTCCAGTGGCACCAGTGACAAGAATGGCTTTTGTGGCGGCCATGGCGGGAAAATGGTTGGTTGATGGAAGTTGTGATTGGCTTTGTAATGATGTTATCAAATCGAGCCGTCTGCAGTCTGAAATGACTAGAGTGAGAATGTTGACATGTATAAAGCAGCAGCAGGGAATGCTTTGCTGATATTCATGTCGACTCTCATGTGAATCATGCCGCACGAAGGAGCATCGGCCCCGCAAACACGTAGGCCCATCTTTTCTTCTGCACCAGGTTTAGAAGCGCACTGCCCTGCGCGGACCCCACGAATAATCGAGCCATGTGCATGCTGCTTATCTCCCTACATCACACATCCTCCCTTCAGACACGGAGTCGTTTACACAAACATGACGTGATGAGAAAAAGAATAACCAAACACCCATCATGGCATCAGAGTAAATGCAGTCGGACGAATTGCCCGCCTACTCACCCAACGCCTCATCAAGCCTCATCCACATCTGCAGCTCCTCAGCCTTCGCACTATGCATGAACTCACGCACGCCCTCAAGCCTCGTCTGATCCCTACTCAGTTTAAAGAACAGCACCGCCTCAGTCCACCACTCTGTAACCCCGCTCTCCACAAGCCTCCTTCCCGTTTCCCCTTGGGCCATTGATCTTCCCGCTTATCCGACAGTGTGCAACAACGGTATCCGTTTCGCGTGAGAAATGCACTGCCTCGGCGCCGTACCCGTCGTCTTCCGGACACACTTGGAAACTGCTAAACAGTCCAAATTGCGTTCTCATGTGCTCGCGGAACGCGCGGATATGTAGCGATGAGAAGTCCAGGTCGGACGGGAGTGACGAGTGGATGAAGTCATGGCTTGGGGGCGCAGAGTGGAGTAGCTTTTTATGAAGGCGTTAACGGTTTGCATGTGTGGCGGTTTTACTTGGTCACACAACGGGTACAGGCAGTATGTGAGTGGTGCGAGGGCTGCAATGGCTGCCAGGGCGGCCGTTGTGATGCGGAGCTTTGGGGGCGAGGAATGTAGATGTCTGTCATTGTTTTGATATTTTATTTTCGTTTCATGGGAGTGGTAAGTATTTGCGAGATAGTTCCATGCTCCAGATTTCTTTGTGTCAGGATGTATTGGCGCAATTCCTGTCACACTGATGTTACTTTCGTCACTGTCTGGTAGTGGGTAGGAATGGCCGTCGCCGACGCCACCTCATGGTGCAATCTACCCGAAAGCCTACCAAGCCACAATATGTAATACGCTAGAAGCGATCTGCACCTTCGTTCCAAACTTGTTTATCTTCGCGTCCTGTTACTCGGGTGATCAAACACGAAAATCCAGTGGCCTTGGCCCCATGGCATTTCACATCTGCATCCGTCGATGATGCATACGCATAATCACCCCCCCCCCCATATCGGTGAATCCCCCCCGGCCCGATACCTTGTGAAACCATATCAAGGTCGCACTCATTCGCCCATAGTAGACACACCCTCCATGGTTAGGGCAAGTATTGACAGGTCACGTGGACACGTGCTTACCATGCGGCCATTTGTGCCGCTCTATCTTTGCATCCCGCTGAATATCCCAGAGAGAAACAATCACAACAAAAAAAAAGCTTCCTAGATAACAACAAAGAATCCAAAGTCACATCCAAAATCTTCATCTCACTTGCGCAAATCGCAACAGCTCAGCTGAGCATAACCCACCCCTTGGATACCAACCTTTTTCCCAATTCCCAGTGTTCCGCTCCCTTGACCCCTGCCCCTTGCGCATAAAAGTCAATCGAATCATCATCTTTTTGCGACCCCTGGAAACCTTGCACGTGCACCTTTCTCGTCGCGCTCTAGCGCCATGTCGGAAACGTCATAGACTTCAACTTTGTTCTTCCTCGACGGGTGTGCCACACTTGCGCACAAATGCAGTTCCCGTTGGAGAGCCGTGGGTTTCGGGGGAGGGGCGTTAGACTGGGGGTGTGGAAGGATTCGTCGTCGTTGTCGTTGTCGTGGGAAGTTTGAACAGGGGTGGGGGAGGTCAGTCAGCATCCTTCCCTTTTTCCTTTTTTCTTTTCCCCCATCGCACCCATGTGTGCATGTGATACGTGACAACGACGACAACAAGAACAACAACAACAACATGCATGAAACCCGAATTTCCCAGCTCATCTCATTTTCCAGGGCGATGATGACGATTAAAGACACGGTGTTATTATCTTTCTTTTTCACGTCCCTGATGGTACTGGTAAAACCCCTTGTTTGCCAAAAAAAAGTCCATGTTATTATATTTCCTCGCCCTGCTGTGAACAAAAGTAAAATATACATACATGCGTACGCATAAGCACGATGCAACAAGCTCTGTATACGTACCTACCTGCATACACGCGTACACACACAAACACACACAGAGAGAGAGTGACAGGGGTAAATAACCACGCATACATTTCACATTTCTTTTCCCAAGCTTCCCCAGACCGCCCCCTTTTCCTGCCCCGAATTTCAAACTGCATGTCATGCCACATGCCACATGTCAATCAAGTGTCGCGCGCTTATTTCTGCAACAAATAAAAGAGACACAAAAAAAGAAAAACGAAATCAAGTAAAGTGAAATAAAAGGAAAAAGGAATTCATGTCACATTCCACGTCAGACATGTGTTTTCAAAACACAACACAACACAACAACACAGCACACGATCATTATCCCCAGGACAAGTAGAAATTACCGATTCCAGGTAATGCAAAGTGATGCCAGTCCCTCTCTCTCTCTCTCTCTCTGTGTGTGTGTGTGTGTGTTTATGTCTCACCCACCACCGTACCGTACACGCACCGTTCAGTGCAGCAGTACTTACAGTAAACAGCTCACCGGAAAACACATGGTTCAATTGGCCCAACAAGCCCACAATGCGAATGTACCGCGCGGAAAAAGAAAAAGAAATACAAGCGTGTAAAATATGTATGTATCCATGTAAGTATGTAAGCTTGCATGGAATTGCCAAAACAGGCAACGCATGTAGAGTTGAGGTGGAAGATGCGGTTGTGGTGAAGTAGTTGGTGTAAAGTGAAGTTGAAGTTGAAGTTGAAGCAAGGCTAAAAAATACAGCTGAGCGAATCAGCGAGTCTGGAATTTTTTTTCCCTAAACTTAAGACGGCGGAGGCGCAAGGGAGGCGCCGCTGTCTTTGTCTCTCGCACTCGTGGTTTTCAGCCCCAGCGGGAGTTCCCGCGTGACAGCTCTCTACGGACTTAGTAGCAGCACCAGTGGCGTTTATGCAGCTGAAAGGCTAGGTAATGGCCACGACGGCAGTCCCCCCCCCCCCAAAAAAAGGGGGGGGGGAGAAGGAGGGGAGGAGGTGTACTGGAAAGTATGCAGAGCAAGGCGCGTGAAGTAGCAAGCGGCAAAATTCAAAGTATGAGGGAGGCAGGGGGCAAGGAGTAAAAAAAAAATAAGTTGCAAACGAAATTTGTCATTGAATTCATTATTCATCGCTAGGACATAGCTGGTCTAGAAAAAGGTAAAAGAAAAAAGTGAAACCAAAAAGACTTCAACAAGCACAAAGACGAACCAGCACCGTCTGCGGCTATGCGTCCGTCTGTCCTCCCTTGCACCTGACAACGTCTCTGGAGAACACCATTTGGCATACTACTTACTCCCAGTCACCAGGACCAAGATCAATAGCATTGCCAGTTCTCATGTCATCCATAATCTTCTCGATGCTCCAGGGCTCATACTTGTAGCCCTTTGGATAATTGGGTTCAAACTTGTCTTCATCCCTCATGTCGATGCCTTGGCTGAGGGACTGGGCGCTCTTATCGTAGTTTTCATACGCATAGGCTTCCGGGTCATGGGACCACACCCACTTGGGCAGTTTGGGGGCTGCACGCCGGGGGTCGATCTTGACCTTGTCCCAGTCGGTGTCCTGGAGCAGCTCGGCATTGGAGAAGCCGAGTTTTTGCGCGCACGCATTGCGAATGAAGCTAAATTGGGGGAGAAATTGTCGTTAGTATCAGTGCTGTTATAGTGCAAATTACATGACTTCTTACCGGAATCGAATGTGCACGCGCACAGACTGGGGGATGTTGTCCTTGCCGCCAATCTGCAGGCATGAGGCGATCGAAATGGCATCCTCGATTGCTTGTGTTGCGCCGTTGCCAGAGGCGGGGAGGTAAGAGTGTGCGGCGTCGCCAATCTGAATGACTCGCGCACCAGGCGATGTCCAGCTGGGCTGGGGATTGCGCCAGAGCAGCTCAAAGTTGACAATGGTGTTGGGAGGAGTTACGTCGACGAGCTGCTTGAAGATGGGCGCCCACTTGATTGTTTCCATACCGGGCATTGAGTCCATGCCGTCGAGCACCTCTTGCTTGTCGATTGTGTTGCTCCAGTTTTCCTTTTCGGTACCAGTCACCTGAGCGTGTTAGCAGCGGCACTTTTCAGAGGCACAAACTTGCAAGCTTACATCGTGGTTCATGATCCAGACCATGACATCCTCGCGAGACAGGGTAAGGGCGTAAGTGGATGGACTGGAAAAGTCAGCATATCAGGGGACACATGACTGAGCACTACGCACCCCAGCCATGTCCGCACAATGGGCTCATTGCCGGGCATCATTTTAAAAAACTCCTCAACTTCAGGGTCCTTGGCCAGGGCTTCCCTAGGAAAAGCAGCACGCCACATGGCCCTGCCAGAGGGTCTCGCGCGCACCTGTCCTCCCACCAACTTCTGACTCTTAGAGCCCACACCATCAGCTGCAATCACGACATCGGCCTCGTAGCGCCTGCCATCATCGGTGACGCAGCCACCCTTGCCAGTCTCTTCATCCTCAAAGTAATCAATTACCCTGCTATTGAATTCTACCGCGACGCCAAGGTTCTCGACCGCGCTCACAAACATCTTGTATACCAGCGGGCGCATCTGGAACTCGCCAGGGGGCGTATCAGGGTCCAGTCCCTGGGCGCGCAGACGGTCTGCGACCTTCTTGGGCCCGATAACGACCTCGCCTGAGTGCTTGAACGTCTCAATCCATGCATTGTGAAGCGAGATTCTCTTGTATTCCTTGAGAAGCTCAGGCCAGTGCTTGAGAAAACGGGTTGCGCTGAGCCCCATGAAATACATGTCGCCTGGAAGCCATGATAAGCAATATGCTCAAACCCAACGTGCTAAAGCTAATTGCTCACCAGCTGTGTTGATGTCTGCGTTCCTTTCCAAGACCCGTACATTGTGGCCTTTGCGCGTGCACTCGAGGGCAGCGACCAGCCCAGCGAGGCCGGTCCCAACAATCAGAACATCGATACCAGTGTTGGGATAAGATCCCACTGGCTTCGACTCCATGGTCGAATCGCGCGACGTGAGGGCGTGAGGCATGATGGCGAGATTGGTTGCGTATAGTGGAATCTGAGAGTGAGCGAGCGAATGTGTGTACTGTCAAACGCGACTTCAACTCCAGAAGGCCTGCTTTTCATACATCTGCAGTGCTCACGTTAATCGCTTTCTCCGTTGGGGGACCAGGCAGGGTTGCCGGGAACCCTCGGAGGTCCGAGCGACCGATCTGTCTCAGATTATTATTCTTTTGCCCTCAAATGAGGACATCGACGTAATGCAACAATCAGCAATATCGCTTGGCGGTCGATGATCAGGCACATGGCCGGTTGAGAGAGTGCTGCAGCCAAGACCGGCGCTAGCCAAAACTCCCGGATCGCCAGCCCTGTACGGATCGCGCTATGGTTCCCCACAAACTCCGGAGAGCCAAGCTAGTCGACGGTGCGCTAAGACAACCTCGAGAAAAATGGATGACCAGACCTGCCATGTCCATGCAGCATGCAGATGCTCGTGGGATGTTTGCAGCCACTACCGCCCACGAGCCCGTTTGGGTCAAGCCCCGATGATACACGTGCGGAACAGATGACAGCCACACATGTGATTCGACAGCCGTTGCCCCTAGTCGCTTACATCGTCTTCGCTGATGACATGTCGAGTATAGTAGACATACTTCTTGTAGCAGTCATGACGTTCAAGCGAGCCGTGTCGCACGTCTTTGCTCGGTCACCCAGGCCGCATCGACTCGGGTCCGTGGAACGGCGACTGAGGTATGGCAGTTTCAACACATTCCGTGCCGTGCTTATGCAGAACATCCACTGTCCTACTGGGGGCGAAACTTTTGACAACGCACAAACCTGGTTTGGAGGGTACAGCGGCACGATAACATGTCCGATGCCGATCAGGAAGATTGGTTTTGACTGTCAGGGCCCGTTTTGCTGCAATGCAAAAAAGAGCCGTGAGTCAGGAAGACGTGATACAATAGGGGATCGGCCAGTAGAAAGGCATTTCGTCACTCATCTCCTATGCGGTGGCCCTCGTGCCCTCGTGGCCCTGGTTTGGTACGCTCACTTGCCAGCGACGCAACCCAGTCCATGACGATCTCTGTGCTCTTTCGGCCCGTCCAGATGTCTTGGGTCTAATCTGATCCCTCTCAACATGTCATAAGTCGGTAGATAGCAGCCCCGACTTTGGCTTTCCGGTTGCCACAGGCAGTAAGGCTTCGGCATCTACAGGGATGTTTGTTGTCGTGGTGGCTAGCCAGAGTATTGGGTCCGCATTTTTTCAGCCGTGTCCATTGGCCAGCAGGTTTTCTCTCAATCAAAGAGACACTTAGGCCATATCGGTTATGCTCATCCAGGCGCCAGCGGGCATAGTGCCAGGGACCGTCTGACTGCATCATCCGTCCCTGGAGGTTGGTACATAAAGCTGGTACTGGGGAGCCGGATGACAGATAGTGTACCTGACAGTATTGGTGTCACATCCGGTTTGCCCTTCGAGCTTGTTTTGGCGGTATCCTTGTGTTTTAAACCGCGGTTTTGTTCCCGTTGTTGTTTTCGTCCCTCAACGCGTGGTCAGTCCGTCGACGCTGACCATATCTGATCCGAACCTTCCGACACTCTCCTGACCGATATCCGCATTGACAATATGCATTCTTTCACCGTATACGCCCTGGGTGCTGCCGTTGTTGCCCTTTTCCTATACGTACTATTGGACACCGTCACAAGGTACAACAAGCGATACAATGTCCAGAATATGCCTGGGCCACGACTGGTGCCATGGATTGGCCGCATTCACGACCTTCCCATCGACTTCATGTGGCTGAAGTTCAACGAGTGGGCCGAAACCTATGGACCTATCTATCGAACAAAGATGTTGGGCGACAACTTTGTCATCATCTCGGACGAGAAGATTGCGGAGGAAATGCTGGTAAAGAGGGCCAAGCTGTATTCCGACCGACCAGAGATCAAGTCATTGTTCGATGCGAAGAGCACATATGGATCCATGGAGTACCTGCCTCTTATGGGCAAGAACCGTAGGTTGCATCTCTGCAATAATGTGAACATCACTGACCAGACGATAGAGTACTGGGCCCGTCAGCGCAAGTTTACACACTCTTACCTCACAGGAGCAACCAATGCACGGTACTACGGTATTATGGAGTTCGAGGCCAAGCGATGGATGGCCAGGCTTCTTGAAAATCCCGATGACTTCAGTGCCTCGCTTGAGGATATGTGCTCCAAGGTCATGTGTCAATTGACATGGGATGACGACTCAGTCAGCACTGTTCTTACCCCGAGTGCATGGGGTCTGCTTACCCAAATGTCTCCCGCTGGCCCCATTACAAATGTCTTGACTCCTCTTTGGGACTACTTGCCAGAGGCCATCAACCCATGGAAGATCCGCGAGCGCAAACGCCACGACCAGCAGCAAGATTTCTTCATGCAATGTCTCCAGAAGACGCGGAGCCAGATGGAAAAGGGCAAGCAGCGAGCCTGCTTCACCAAGTCATACCTCGAGACTGCCGAGAAGACCAACATCTCTGGCGACTACGAAGCGTCGTGTGTCATTGGAATGATGGCCCTTGTTGGTATCTTCACTGTGACTGGACCCATTTACTACTTCTTAATCAGCATGGTTCACCACCCAGAATGGCAAACCAAGTGCCAGGACGAGATTGATCGTGTTTGTGGAAACAAGCCTCCGGCTGTGAGCGATCTGCCCGACCTGCCCATCTTGCGCGCGTGCATCAAGGAGACAATGAGGTGGAAGCCCACAGTTCCCACTGGTAAGTTAGTTCGCTGGTGTTGACTAGAGCCACGACTAATACTAGAAATAGGCGTTGCGCACGAAGCGGAGGCCGACGATTGGTTCCAAGGTTACTTCATCCCCAAGGGCACGCGCATTCTTCCTCTCGACTATGCCTTCCTTCGCAACCCGGTCAAGTACCCCAATCCAGAGGAGTTTCGTCCTGAGCGATGGCTGGAGCCTGAGTGGCCTACGTTCCAAGCACCATTGACCAAGTACCCGGATATCGTTGGCATGACGTCCTTTGGGTGGGGCCAGCGCCAATGTCTGGGCATGTCCATTACTCGTGACGAGACAGTGACAGGCTGCGGAGCTGTCATGTGGGCCTTTAACCTGAGGCGCAAGATGGACCCTACTACAGGCCAGGAAATTGAGGTCCCTCTGAACAAGTCCAACTCGCTGCTCATCATCAAGCCAGATCCGTGGGAGATGGCGTTTGAGCCGAGAAGCGAAGAGCGCAAGCAACAGGTGGTGCAGCTGTGGAAGGAGGCCGAGGCTAAGGACAAGGCGGAGCGCGCCGAGTTTGCGAGGGAAGCTGAGATGCAACAAGTCCTGCAGCAACCCTAGATATATATACCTGGGGACCTGTGTAATGAGGGCGGCTCGAAGGCGCATCGGAGTGGTTCGGCGTTTGCGAACGATATCTTTTCTTTTTGTGTGTGCATATATTACATATTTCCTTTGCCGGTGGCACGGTTAGCCATAATCAATTTTCAATTTTCTGCATATGCCGCTGCCGCTGCTGCTGCTGTGTATGTCGTTGTCTCTGATGCATCATGATCGGCATCAGGCCAAGTTCACGATTCCACTTTTAGTGCGAAAGGCGGGTTAGACAGGAAAAAAAGTGAATTAGGACGTGGCAAGCGCAGTTTGCAGTAGCGCGGCGCGGCGGTTGTTATGCGCGCGCGCACCGGGGGATTATTTGAGTAGAGCTTTCAGCTGGTCGTGTCTGCAGTGAGGAGCGGGCCCCCGCGGCGCTGATGGAGCTGCGCCCAAGGCGTAGTCAGTCAGCCAGTCAGCCAGACAGGCAGTCAGCCGGGCATTGGACTGGGTGTGAATCGGCTGTCGTCGTTTTCATCGTCCTTGTCGTCGCCGTCGTCGTCGTCGTCATCAGGAATCGTATGTAGACGGAGCTCCGTGGTGGGTAGGAGGCAAGGGCCGGGTGCATCCAAGGACGTGTGCCCTGACATGGCGGCGCATAAGTTTCCCCTCCATGTACCCCTCCAAAGATGGCCCGAGCGCGGTGCCTTGCCCAGCTCCAGCGCGGCCTAATTCTGGACAGGCGGAAGCAGCAGCGCCAATCAGCGGCCAATCAGCGGCCAGGCCGCGGCCCATGCCCCACCCTCGACCTGCAACTGTCGTTGCTATGCGGCAAGAGCTGTGCGGCTTGGGTGGCTCTCCGAGGTGGCTAAGCAAATGCCCCTCCATCCGCCCTAGGTCTTTTAAAAGCTGCCCCTCATCACCCCAAACAATAACACTCCTCCACCACACACGCACATTCTCCCAGCACAGCCAAACTCTGCTTCCCATCACCATGTCCAACCCCCGTGTTTTCTTCGACATCACCATCAACAACCAGCCTGCGGGCCGGATTGTCATGGAGCTCTTTGCCGACAAGGTCCCCAAGGCGAGTACCCCGCCATCAGAGTCTTCATCAGACTCGCCATGTTTGATCCCCCGGGCGATTGGCTAACAGCAATGGTCAGACGGCTGAGAACTTCCGCGCCCTCTGCACTGGTGAGAAGGGCGTTGGCAAGTCCGGAAAGCCCCTCCACTACAAGGGCTCTTCCTTCCACCGCGTCATCCCCCAGTTCATGCTCCAGGGTGGTGACTTCACCCGCGGCAACGTACGTCGACGCTACAACAAAAAGCGCCATTGAGGAAAAGCGCAGCTGGCTGACATAGCACAGGGCACCGGTGGTGAGAGCATCTACGGCGAGAAGTTCGAGGACGAGAACTTTGAGCTCAGGCACACCGGCCCCGGTATCCTCTCCATGGCCAATGCTGGTCCCGGTACGTCTACGCTTCTCACGAAAATGGAACATGGCCCAGGCTAACCGTCATGTCCTAGGTACCAACGGCAGCCAGTTCTTCATCTGCACTGTCAAGACGTCATGGCTGGACGGCAAGCACGTCGTTTTCGGCCAGGTTGTCGAGGGCATGGACGTTGTCCAGGCTGTTGAGAGGCAAGGCTCTGGCTCGGGCAAGACGAATGCCCCCATTACCATTGCGAACAGCGGTCAGCTGTAAATGTTTGTCTTGACTGCCAAGCCCCGCCCCGAGTAACGCGAACGGATCAACGATGACGACGATTCACGACATGATCAAAAAAAGACTCGTTGCATGGAGGAATGAGGAGCAGCACGGGTCGCTCGTAGTACCAAGTAGGGAAATGATGTAGACTGTTGCGCATTCGTGTACGTCTTGATGTTTGTTGCCGTGATGTGATGCATTGTGTGAAGAGTGCTGGTGCCTTGTTCTGCGATGACGTGATGGATGCGGGGCTTTTTTCGGCAAATTCTCGACTGCAACATTGGTGCATGTCGCTTTGGCAGTAGTGGTAGTGGTGGTGGTAGCGGTAGCGGTAGCGGTAGCGGTAGCACGGCAGCATTCGCCTCATTCATATACACGGCCTCTGTGAGGCGACAGGAGGTACAAGATGTGAGGGCTTTGCAGGAACAGGACAGGGCGCTATGCACAAGCTAGGCGTTGCAAAGTGCAGCAGCAGTGTAGGTCCACGGGCAGCATGGTGCAGCTAGTGGTCTGGCAGATGAGCGCACGGCGGGATTCTCGACGGGATTTTGGACGAGGCGCCTCTTGTGGAAAGCCACAGGTGCAGGCCAAAATCTAGAAGCCGTGGACCGAGGCCATGGACAGGCCTGGCGGTGCCCGTGACGTGCGAGCCGAGGGCGTCGAGGTGGGGAAAGGCAGCATCCACATGTGCTTCCAGGATGGCGGACATGGAACCGAGAGGTTTCGGAACAAGCAAGCGGGCTGTCCAGACTGGCTGAGCATCTTTGCTTGCGCGTCGTGAAATCTGAATCTCCATGGCGTTACAGACATGACGTGTGGAAACCGATTGTGGATTATGGCTATTATTGTTTGTTGCAGTCGTGGCGGCCGCTGTGAGCCACCACGTACCCCGCCTTAATTGGCTCCACAATTACCACAGCCAAGCAGCCATCTTCTTCCCGGGGGGGGGCTGGGGGGGGGGGGTGATATTGCAGATTATGCAGAGAGAAGAAAAAAGTAACAGAAGAAAAGGGAGGACTGCAGCGTGATGCAATCAAACAGTATGCTTCGCGTGGGGCGGAAGGAAGGTGTGTCGATGCAATCCTCCGCCCGATGGTCACGTGCCGTGTCGGGGGAAAAGAGGAAAAGGGGGGAGGCACGGCGCGGGTTAAACAACCTACTAATAATTTGTTATTTAACCTACTAATAAGAGCTACTAAGCTAGACTTAGGTATAGTAAGCTTAGCTAAAATATGAGTAGTATGTTTTATAACTTATAGTAATATAGCTATATAGTAGTAACTATTAGTAATAAAAAATAGCTAATATATTGATAAAAATTTAGTAGTATTATATAGCTAAAATAAAGGCTATAATATTAAAAAAAGTAAAGCTTAAAAACTAGCTATATTACTTAATTTTTAATACTTTATATAGCTTAACAACTAGCTTAAAATAAGCTTTAAGCTACTTACTAAAAACGCTATAGCTAGTATAGTATGATTATTTTATCAGCTAACTATAATAAAGCTTTTAATTATTTTGATACTTTTTGCTATTTAAGGTTGTTAATGTATTTACGTAAAAAAGTAAGTGGTACAAAAAATAAAAATATTATGTATTAGCTAAGTAGTTAAAGTAGCTAAAATAAGTATTGAAAAGCTTATTTTAAAGCTTTATTATAAAGCCTTTATAAGTAAAGCTATAAGTAAGTAGTAGTTAAAAAATTAAGTAAGTAGCTAAGTAAGTAAAGTAGGTAGCTAAGTAGTATAATAGTAGTAATAGTAGTAGTAGAAGCTAGTAACCTAGCTAGTAGCTTAGTAAGTAGCTTAGTAAAGCTATATAAGGCTGCTAAGATAGCTATAAAGTAGCTATTTTAGCTAAAGCTTAATATTATAGCTAACATTAGTAGTAACGTATTCCACCACCGAGAGTGCCACCCCACCGAGTGTGCCACTTTTTCTTGGCATCGCGAACATCACATATGAAAACTTGAATTACTCTACACTAGCTATAGATGCTTCGTACGACTCACTTGCATCTAACAT